CTGAGCCACCAGGGAGGGCCCATCACAGTTTCTTTTAAGCTAATTGTAGACTCACAGGAATTATTACTTTAAATCTAGTTTCAATATGTCTCATACAAAAGATATCTTACTAAATAACTTCAGATCTATGAGGATACAAATGTTTTTTTATTCCTCAGCAGTACAGTACAGGTACAAAATTCTGGGGAAAAAAAATCTTTGAACTACAAAATTTCTTCATGAAAAGTTGTTTTTTGCATAGTTTCATACTTTTCAAGTATTTCCATGAAGTAGATTAACAATTGGAAATACTCTAGTTTTTTATAGATAGTGAAGTTGTTTGGGGAAATACCAAAAAGATAAACATTGAAAGAATATTTGAAACTTAACTGAGTTGGCAAAGAGGAACTTTTGATTAGACTCTCCCCTAAACCAAATAAAATCATTAGGAGACTCCTTATTAGTATCTGGGAAATGTAAAGGATTTACATTGTTTAAGGAACAAAATATTTTACCATTTGGGATGCAAGAAAAATATTCTCCCCTGCCTCACTGAAGCAAGTTAAAGTACAAACCCTTCCCCACCACAATAATAGAGATGTTATTTTCACCTGTCATCCCCCAAAAAATTCATTTAAAGGTCACAGATAATGCATTGCATCAGATACTAACCAGAACAATTAAACTTAAGGTACCATGATTTGCAACAAAATACTGAGACTTGATCTATAGTAATTGATATAGAAAAACAGTCAAAAACAATTTCTTTGGATTCAACTACATAGTTTCTTATTAGCAGCAGTAGCTATTTAAAGTACAAAGAGAGAAATGTAGGACCAAACAAAAATTAATAACTCCCTGACAGATGCAATTATAATTTTCTTTTCTACATGAAAAGAAAAAAATTCACAAGTCTAGTTATTTCAAGTCATTAATAAATTGAACAAGTAATAACAGCCAAGTTTCAAGGAAGCATGGTAGCTTTGTACGCCAAGCTAAGAAAGAAGTCATGTATTTATTCTTGTTGCTATACTAAATTACAAAAGTAAAAATTGATTAAAAAATACAAGTTATAGGCTTACATTCACAGTTAACAGCTGACATTTCTAGGCTAACAAAAGCTCTTGGAAAACAGTAATGATATGTAATGGTGCCATCTTGTGGAAAATACTGAAGACAGTTAACTTCTGAAACTTATTCTTTAAAAGACAAAATAAACAAGATTTAGCACATAAAAATTTAACCCCAATACCAGGGTTATTACTTACTGATTGATTTAACCCACAATCATAAAAATAAAAATCTTTCCAGAACTAGCATCAAACATTATTTAAAACTGTTATTGATTCCAAATAAGGAATTAATTATCAAAATAAATTACAAACTAAAATTTAAGCCATAATAATATTTAATCACCTCAGTTTCAGATCTGAACTTAGTAGTGAGGTAAAATGCATTAAAAAAGAAATGTTAAGCCACACATTTTGTAGACCTAAACTATGTGAACCAACCTGATGCAATCTGCAATTACAAAAAAAAATAATAAAAATGAAGTTCATTCATTTGAAAAGAACACTCTTGTGCTTACTGCAGCTTTATTTATAATAGGCAACAGCTGAAAACTAACCAAGTGCCCACGGACATATGACTGGATAATGAATATGTGGTAAGTATACACAATGGAACACTATTCAGCTAGACAAGAAGAAACTCGAAAATTTGCAACAATATGAATAGACCTAAAGAATTGAATGCTTAGTGAAATAAGTTAGATGTTTTTACTTAGATGGGGTATAACAAGTGGATTAACTAAATAAAATAACAATAAACTTTTAGACTATAAGACTAGTGACTACAGGAGGAAAGAGGTAAAGAGTTGGGCAAACTGAGTCAAAGACGCCAATGATAGGGTGAGTGAGAGAACGGAACTTTTCATGGAGAATTTAATGTAGTACATATACATGCTGACGCTTGATGATACACCCCAGAAACATATACAAAGCAATGTTATTTCAATAAAGAAAGTAAGTTTGAACCTTACACTTTTATCTGATGCATGAATATCTACATTTCCATAAACTGTTCCCAGGCAGATCACTTCACCTCCTTTTGTTTGAACATGTACATTTTGACTCTGAAAGACAAAAATATATTAACTCTGAAAAAAATATATTAACTCACACTAAAAAAATCCTAACAGTTTTATACATTTCTTTTTAAATTACAAAATAAAATAGCAATAAAGGAAGCAGGAATCAAATCAATATGCACTGTTTGGAATAAAATCAACTAGAAGAGAATGACAACTACTATTACAAGAATTAAGCCAACTGGATTTAAATAGGAAAAAGAAGAGATATTCAAATGTTCCAGGAGCCTATCAAAAACCCCAATGACTTTTTTTAATCTAACTTTTTATTTTTTTATTTTATAATTTTTAAAACTATTATTTTAATAGTTTATTTTTACATCATTTTGTACAGTTTTTTCCATCTCAATTGTAATCCCCATGGGTTTCCTATCACCAAGTCACCCATGTGCCATCACCACAGTCCAGCGCACTTCACTGCCCCCAATGATTTTGATCCCATTT